CTCTGCAGCGCCGGTTCAATCCCTGGTTGCTCCCCGGCCACTGGAGGAGGGTCCCACATGGTGCACAGACCTCTCCTGCCGCCCACTGCTCCCCTCAGCAGTGTACTTCGGTCCTTCTGCCTGCTCTGCTCCCCGCTCTGGCTCTGGTGAATTCTCTCACCCTCCCGCGCTTCTGACTGTACCCAGTGCTTGTATAGATAAATAAATAAATACTAAAAAAAAAAAAAGAACTTCAACCTTTCTAGATCTCAGTTTCCTTCTCTGAAAAAAAAAAAAAAAGAAATTGTGGGATTTAGGTAGTAAAGTCTGGTCATGAATTCATTCAGATCAACCATGTGTAGGGTAAGTGAATTAATTAGGCCTTTTACGCCCTAGCCTCTGGGCTATCACCTGCAGCCTCTATTGTGTTGATGCAGAAGGCACTTGGGAGCATAGGCCAGGCCTGTGTGCCTGATTGTGGACCCCTGGATATGGGTGTGGGCCTGTGGAAGTGGGCACACCTGAGCCTGGAGGCCAGGGATATAAGGGCAGCGTCACTCAGAGACTGAGGGCTGCAGGAGACTGGCTACGAGAGGGTGTGTGGTTACAGAAGAGGCAAGATGATTAGCAAAAGCCAGAGAGAGCCCAGAGAAAGCATAGCTTCACAGGGGGCCAGGAGGCTTCCCTCTCCGCCCCCCACTGCCTGCCTGCCCTGCTCCTGGTTGCCCCACAACACCATCCGTCTGGAAAACAAAATAAAACAAGAAACACATCCTGCCACTGTCTACATGGTACGTCTCGTCATCTGCCTCCATCCTCTGTGGCTTTTAGTTCAAGGACGCAAAGTTCATGGAGTTGGGAATTTGGTGGCAAGATCAGCATAAATTGACCAAGTTTTAAATTCTCTACCACTTACTAAGTTTTGGTTTTCTGCTAGATACTTATCAAGATAATAAGGATTGTTGCATTGCCTCTATTTCTATCCTTATTCTAGTTATTTCTTGTTGCCTAAAGGACCATACTTGCCACTCGTAATAAAAAGTCCTTATGACGCTGACCTTCAAAGGTCATCGTAATTTCTCTCCCTGTCATTTCTTCCCTTCTAAGACTTGTCTCCTCTCATTTTCTTTCATGCACAATATTCACTACACACGCAACCAACTAGGTGATGATGTGGGTGATGTTATTTAGTAGGTTTCCTTTCATCAATGGTATATAGGAATGTAGGGTTAAATGAAAATCATCAGGGTGGTGCCAGGGGGATGCCAGCAGAGTAGCAGAAAGAAGAACAAGAGCAGAACAAGAGGAGTAGAGACCATTGATGAAACTATATCTAGTTTTGATACTGATTTTTTATTGCTTTTATTTCTCTTTTATTTGTTCAGAACTTACCTAAAGCCACGGATGTGCAAAATTGCCTTTCATTGAATGCAGTCAGTTGACTTAGCTCCGAGTTAAAGAAATCAGTGGGATTCAATGTCATGGAGTATGAGAAATACGTGGTAGTTTCATGATAGATTTGAGATTCACCTGAGTCAGCCATGAGGCGGACGCAGAGGTCCCTCACAGCGTCACCGAGTTAGGGGGCTTTCAGGTGATTCTTCTTGCGTGTCCAGGGAAGATGTACTCTCTGAAATGTCCTCAATTTTGGATGATTTTTAACTTAAAAATAGTTGATATACATTCTAGAAACTATTTTATTTCTTGAATTCTGCAAAATAGGTGTGCATTTCAAGAAGGGAAATAAAAATCTATTCTTATAGTGGGAAAATTAAAACATAATTCACTCTGATTATCTGAAATATTTCTAAAATGCCAAAAATCTAGAGCAGCAAGGCAATTTTTTAAAAAGATTTATTTATTTATGCATATAAGAACTGGGGTACAGGCCAGAGGTGTGGGTGTAAGAGGATTCACCAGAGACAGAGAGGGGAACAGAACAGGCAGATGTACTGAAACACACTGCCGAGGGGAGCAGTGGACGAGTCAGGAGAGGTCTGCTGCACCATTTGGGTACCTCCCTGGCTGGGGATCGAACTTGTGCTGCAGTGGCTGTGTTTAGCTTCATAGGTTGCATCTTAACTACTTGTGCCACCAGGGAGTCCCAGCAAGGCAATTTGACTTTTAGTTATATATGACATGCATCTGAGGCCTGCTGTATGATTTGTGTTTGAGCATGAAAGATGTCCTAAATACAAGACTACTTTCTGTCACACAGAAAAAAACAAGTTCTATTTTTCACCCCTACTATATTTTAAAGAACTGTAGTTCTTGGTTTTGTAGTCAATCCTGGTAAGACTTTTTTTTTTAAAAAAAAAAAACAAATTCATAAATGTTTATTTAATCCTGGTAAGACTTTCCAATACTATAAGTAACTCAGAAATATAGTCCATGTATAATTTATCTTGTTGCTCAGTTTTTACTGTAAATCATTATTTCCCTTAACTATTTAATTTGATCTTTATTATTCTCACCACTATTTACAATTGTAATGAGAGCAAATCTTTAATACAAATCTTCACAACTTTGTATTCCTAATCTTCCTTGGTGGTATTTATAACAAGAATTTATTGAAGAAAATAGGTTTACATTCATTCATTCAAAGGATATTTAAAACCATTGGTACTATGTAGTATTTGTAGATTCGGAAAACAAAAATAATAAATGTTTTAATTTACTTTTATTATGGTGTAGGAAAACAGATATGAATATAATAAATGAATAAGTTATATTTTTGCATTAAAAGATGAGTGTTACAGAGAAAACAACAACTGGATATATGGAAGCATGTTAATTTCTGTTAAAAAAAAGCTTTTTATGACAGAGACCAAACTTAATTGAAAAGTTTACAGAACTCCTAACATAAAAGCAGAATTATAATACTGATTATGGATCAATTTTATTCATGTGTATTTAATAATATTTCTTAGTGCTGGATACTTTTATAGAAAATCTATTTAATTCCAATATAAGAAGTTGCTACTTCAACTATAAATATGAGAAAACTCTGATGTGATGAGATTAAATAACAAACCCCAGTGGACAGAGCAAACAAATAGCAAAGCCAGAATTCAAGTCCAGATTTTTGCTTCTCAATTCTCCTGCCTTCTTACTCCACATCACTGCAATCTAACACTCCAAGTGGTTTATTGTAACACCCTCTCCTTTATCGAAGGCAGTATAAAGGTTTCAGATTCTAAAGTCCTTCAAATAAAAATAGTGAGTGTTCAGTTATAAAACAACTTTCATGTGGTCTAGCAGAGTGACTTGACTATTTTGCAGATCTCTGAAGAGACGGGGAGAGAGGGAAGTGACTCAGGGGTTCAGTGTGTTACCAGCACAGCCACCTTCATTCTTTCCTAAATTCTCATCAGTAAGCTTGCAAGTCTCAACTTCAGTTGTTGCAGTGGCCAGGTTAATGTGTTCTTCCACTAAAAATATATCTTCAGAACTGTGGGAGTAATCAGGAGCTCTCACTTCCAAAGTGCTGCTACAGGCGTTGGATAATCCCACACTAGCTGTTGTGGTTGACATAATTGTCCACATACTTTTAATTTCACATACACAGTGTGTGCACCTGTTTTCCGGACTGAAACAGTTCTCACCCTTTGGTATTGGGCCATTTTGCTGATCCAGTGTGTTATAAATATTACCAGGGCAAGAGCGGTGTGTGTGACAGGATAATACAACCTAATTTGGCTGACAAGCTCATTTCCTATTTATTCTCAGCAGTCTGAGACGTGAATCAAAATTTCAGTCTGTTGTAAAGGTTATTATAAAAGATAGCCAGTAATTATACTTTATTTAGAATATGCTCTAGGTAAGGTATACTGGTAAAAGTGACATTTTTCTTCCTTAAACTGATCCTGCTGTGGGAAAAGGAGGGATGGTACCTTTCTAAATAATAATCACTTCAAATTTGAAATTTGAAGTTTCCTCATGTGGAATAGTTCCAACACTTGAGCCAGCTAACAGAAAGGAGTGTCCTGTGATTACGAAAAGAAAATAATGTGAGACCATTCTGGAAACTGCATTTCCCTGGAATGACACCGATATATTTGGAAACGTCTGTTTTCCTCTCTTCTTACTTTCCTCACCAAGATGCATGTTTGTTTCCTTGTGCTTCCTGTGGACTCCTGGGTCCCTTCTAACTCCTGTGTTTAAAGGTTCCATCTACATTTGATTTCAAATCCCCCTTCTCATAATTTTTTTATTACAAACAATTTCATTTGCTAGGGAATCATACCCCAATTTGCAGTTCAATTCTGGAGTTTAAATAGCTTCATTATCACCTAGATGCTATATCCTTTAACAAGGGAAAGTTGCTACTCATGTTCCCCAAAGTACCATGCGCAGAAGGTATGATTAGCTGGTGTTCTATTCATTTCCTTTGTATCATTTCTATTATATCCTGGAATGAAGGACCTATGTTAGCATGTGCCAGACAAAGCTCAGACTCAGAAACAATTTTCCTGACTCTCTGTTCTTTATGTGGGTTTGTTTTTTAAAATGGGAATCATAAAGAACAGAGAGTCAGGAAAATTGTCCCTGGGTCTATAATTGCTTTTCAACTTTCCCCCTTCCTGAACATGTCTTTCCAGCACAAAAATAATCCTGAGTCTGTCTTCTTTACTATGCTTACTTAAAAGAACTGTTAAAAGCTGAAGCTAGTTTGTAACAGCACAATGCAGATGAAAAGCATTGCTATTAATTTTGTATTTTCAGCAGGAGTTAAGCTCTATATTTCTACATAGTAGTATTCTTCTAGGAGTTCTATATTTTAATGGCTTAAAATTTTCAACTTTCTGTAATAGTGAGAAAATTTCAATTCACCTTCAGTTCTTGCATATGGTTATCTTTTGTCTTTGTCGGTCTTTCAGGGAATCTTGCATTTGTAGAAAAAACTTAAAAGGATAACTTTCTGAATGGCTCCTGATTTGCATTCATGTTGTCCTTCAGTGTTTATGTGCTACTTTTTCCTCTTGAGTTTTTATATCTTCTTTTTTTTTTTTTTTTTTCAGGTGGAGGATACAGTGAAGACTCACTTTGGCAGCCACAGCAGAAGGGCCATAATCTACCGGCCTCCTTCCTACAGCAAAAGGGAACTTCAGCTCTACCAGCATGTTCTCACTCAGCATCGCTATAAGGTCGTCATCGCTGAAGAAGGGTTTGGTGATCTGGGGCCACTAGGAAAAGGTCAGAATATGAATTACTAGAGTCGTTTAACTTACAATGTTAAACCATGTCTAGAACATGCTACCATCTTCCTCTAAAAGCAAATGTTTACCCATGATCAATTTTCTTGGATGATAGAAAACTTGGCTCCTTTCCTCCTCGCTCTCTGTTCTCTTGATCTATATTTCTTTATTCCTGAAATTATTTTGTTTATATTTTTGTAGTATTTTGGAGTTGCATAGTTCATGTTTAAATGCTACATAAAAAAATGTTCATGTTTATGAGCCTGAATACATGTTCTGCCCTGCACCAAACTGCTCCATATTTTAAGAAAATTGCCACTTCATCTGACTGCAGGTAGAATGTGCTGGAAATTGTTTCGAGAAGCCAGTTTAAATGTGATTCACAGATTGACTCTAAATGCTCAAGAAGAATGGATCTTTATCACACACACCATTACTAGTCAAGTACTTTTATTTCTATTATTTGAAGTGAAAAATAAGAGACAAGATTTTAAGCAACTTATTTGAAAAGAAAGTTCAGTAGAGGATGAGGGTCAAAAAGGCCACTAACAAAAACAGCAAACTTTTCCTGAACATCTAACCATGTGACAGATGCTGTGTTATATTCTATATTCATGGCCTCTAATCCTCATAGAAGCATCTAGAGGAAAGTAAGATTAGGAAATAAGAATTTCTGCTTCCCATATTCCAGCAGAGGAAACTGAGGGTTCAAAAGGGGAAATGACTCTCCCTGTATCTTAAATCTGGGGTGAGAAAGGACAAGATTTGAACCCCACTTTCCAGCTCTCATTTCTGAATCTTCCCATTCACCTCCTTGTGGTCCATTCTCCCGTTGGTCCATAGTCTTGCTTATTAGAGCCTCAAGGATGAGGGATGTTCATTCAGGTTTTTCTCTTGTTGATGACACAGTATATCTATTTTCCTGTATATCAAAAAAGAAGGGAAGAAAAGCAATTTGAATCAGGTGATTCCAGGGACAGTTTCCTTTGGGAGACAATAGATCCTAAAACCACAGTGATTTTCACTGAAATGTCAATCTTGCCATCAATATAGCACTGAAAAATTCAGTTACGGGTCCCCTTGCTCTTTAAAGTGCTAACTTTTCTGGTGAGTGAAGAAGGTTGGCCATGATCACTCTTTATGACATTCATTTTTTACTATGTTGGCAGTAAAGCTGTAAGCAACTTAACAAAGCCTCCAGGCAATAGAGTCCCAAAATATCCACTTTGATGAAAAGAAAGGTCTTAGAAATGCACAGAGCATGTGTTATTTGGAGAGGTCTTCTAGAATACCATTTGCTGGTCCCTGTCTCCCAGGAGTAATATGGAAATCTAGAGCACTAAAAGATTCTGGAAGCAAATGGGAAAGACAAAAGGGAAGGTAAAAGTTCTGGAAAATCAAAGAGGGTTGAAAACAAACTTCGTAAGCCTCTCTGGGACTGGTTCTATTAAGAAAGACCAATCTAAAGTTCTGGGACCTCCATAAATAATATTGTCACATAACAGCTTATCAGAATAGCTGTCAGAGTTAAGGAAAGATATAAAATGTTTAGTTTCCTGTTCATCCCACAAAATAATTTAACCCATCACTGAGTGATTGACTGTGTAACCTTCACAGACTGGCATGTGAGCTGTGCTCCTGGAATAGTGCAAAGAGCACTGAGCCTGGGAACACACCACTATTGTCTGGAACTCCTCTGCCCACTTGGTGCTGCTACTGACCATTTACAGGCACATGGACTGTCTGGGCATTTCAACTTCTAGTCAATTTTCAATTTTCTCCAGTTGTAAAAAGAAGGAATATGTTTCCTTTCCCTCTTTATGTCCTTTGGTCAGTTTTACAGCAAAAAGGAGGATTACTTTGCAGCTTTCTGATATCAAGAAAGTGCAAAAATATCCTGAAAGCAATAGAATCTGGCAGCTCAATGAACTGCTGGGCCCAGTGGCCCCAGATGACTAGATGGTGGCACCAGAATTTGTCATTGTAAATGCTGATTTGGTTCCCTTTCTCCACTTTCCCACACTTTGAACATATTTGTTCCTGACTCTTTTTTGGTATTCCTCTATTCTGTATAATAAGATATGATTCCTGGAGAGTCCTCAAAAAAGGGTAGCAGTTTCACGAGTATGGAAAATTGACTTCAATTTTTCATTTGATTTTGTAGTTTTTCTTGTGAGAGCAATGTGCATCAAATACCTGACATAAAGTTCTGGGACTGTAATCTAGCATTTCCTTGACTATCTAACATACAGAAAAACACCCATATATTTTATTGCAGTTTATTTTCCATGGCCACAAATTTAATCTGCAAATTATGTTAGAATGGAGGCATTAGCTACAAAAAATATTTTCCAGAGATTTGATTCCTGTAGAATTTGTTTTGCATTAGTTTCACTTATTCACTTCATGCTTATTTTACTATATGTGCATCAGCAGGAAACAAAAAGGTATCGTGGCACATTTAAACAACCTGTCAGGTTGAGGAGCTTCAGAGGGGTGGAAGCAATTGAGAATGATCTGGAGAACCACATACCCTTTCACTTTAGCTTTGCAGTCTCTGCTGTTTTGTAACCTGAGATTAGAAAATACTATTTTTTTAAGATTTATTTTATTTATTTATACAAGCACTGGGTACAGTCAGAAGTGCAGGAGGGTGAGAATTCACCAGAGCCAGAGCAGGGAGCAGAGCAGGCAGAAGGACCGAAGTACACTGCTGAGGGGAGCAGCGGGCAGCAGGAGAGGTCTGCGTACCATGTGGGATCCTTGCCCAGTGGCCAGGGATCGAACCAGCGCTGCAGAGGCTGCGGGCAGCTTCGTAACCCAGCACTCAACCGCTGCACCACCGGGGAAGCCCTAGAAAATACTATACTAAAAACAAAATAGTTACTCCCACAAATGTTACTAAATACGCAGATGCAGATTTGACACATTTATAAAGTATCTCCTTGGGAAAAAAAACACATCCTTGGTGATAGCAAATTAAATATAAAATTCATTTTCCCTACCCATTCAGCCTGTCCCTCTCCTCTCCTGACTTAACCCCACTCACTTCCCCTCACCTCTTTATTGTGCCATTCTCTGATGCACAGGTGAACTCTATCCAGGAGGGGGCCACTTTTTCTTTAACCTTTTAAAAATTAGGAACACATAGAATAGTCATAAAATAGGCAGGCAACTGTACAAGCATAATGTATCAGGACAAATCCCAAAAACATTTGGGCTTTGTATTTTAATTTCCCTGCTACTTATATACTGAAACTTTATTGAAAGGAAAAGTAAGCACTCTCATGTTCTAAATTAATATATGGGCATTATGTTTTTCCCCTGCTTGATTCCATTCTAGTGACATAATGAAGGTGGTGGCTGTAGTGGGAAAGACTTTAGGGCTCTGGATATGTGACCTTAGCAAGTCTTTAAAGCTCTCAGAGCCTTTGTTCTCTTAGCTGTTAAAGGCAGTAATGATATTTATTTCACAATAGTATGTGGTGAAAATTTCATTACTTGTCCACTCCTATCAGAAATCAGGAGACAAATAAAGCCCAGCCAATATTTTTCTCATTCAATAGCCTGGGAGTGGTGCCCAGAAATTTATATGTTAAAAACAGACACAGGTAATTCTGATGTGTAGCCCAGTTTGCAGTGTACCATCCTAAGGGATGTACTATTAGTTCAAGAAATAGCAACGTTGGTGGTAATTTTTTTTAAAGATTTAGTTATTTATGCATACAAGAGCTGGAGTATAGGCCAGAGGTGCAGGGTTATGTGTGTGTGTGTGTGTGTGTGTGTGTGTGTGTGTGAGAGAGAGAGAGAGAGAGAGAGAGAGAGAGGACTCACCAGAGACAGAGTGCAGAGAAGAACAGGCACATCTACCGAAGGGAGCAGCAGGTAAGACAGGAGAGGTCTGCTGAGCCATGTCCATGTGGGTCAGCTCCTTGGTTGGGGATTGAACTTGCACTGCAGTGGCTACCGATCGCTTCATAGTGCTGAGACTTAATCCCTTACCCCACCAGGGAGCCCCTTTGGTGGTAATTTTTGTGATAAAATGATATGAAAGTCTGCTTACTATAATGCCATGGCATTACTTGTATGATTTGATTGTATAGGTATTTTCAAGATTTAGTCTTTTAGATGATTGTGAGACCAGCAAGAAGACAAAAGTCTTTACAGATTTAGGCCTACAAAACTTAGCAGAATGTAAAACATATACTTTTTATGGCTGCTCAGTCCCTTGCTTTGGAAAAATCCATCTTATGTCCCTGAATTTGTAAAAACATGTAATTCTCTACAGGAAATGGTAGAAGCACCAACCAATCATCCTCTCGCTAGTATCTAGGTACCATTTAGCAAATCACTGTTTTAGTATTGGAATAATATACTAGCCTAAAAGAGAGTAGATGTTTTCCAAAAGTGTTTAGACTATTGCCATGTCAACATTTAAGTAGAATTTGGTCCAAGACACTCTGACTCAGTAAACTTTATCACTGGATCAGGATTATTTATGTGTACTTAAAGCATAGTGCATATTTATTAACTTTCTACCCACTTTTGAGTACATCTTGCCAGTTTAAATTAAATATATGAGAGTCCATGGGAAACACACATGCCAACCTGCTATCAAAATTACAGAATTAGAGTCACTTTGAGAGTTTCAACTTGATCTTATATCTTGGGAATTTTACATAGAATGTTTTTTGAAGGAATGCAAAAAGTGAAAGCCTTGATTTTCTTAACCATTGTTTCTTGTAAACTATGGGCCATGGACCAAATCCAACCGAACACCTGTCTTTGTGAACAGGTTTTATTGAAACACAACCATTAGTTGTTCTCCTCCTGTCACTGGTTACTTTTGTTCTGTAAAGCAGAGTTGAGAAGCTGCAATAGAGATTTCATAGCCCTTACAACCTGAAGTATTTATATTGCACCCATTTGAGAAAAAATTTGCTGACCCTTGTATACAGACTAATTCTATGTCCTCTGATCCCACACCAAGGTCATGAA